AGAGATGGAGAGGTAGTGACGGTGTTAAAAGCTTTCGCGACAGTCGACGCAACTCCCATTGCCTGTTCCATGGTCATGTCGACACTCCACCATTCAAGGAAGATGCTCATTCTTCCACTCATGAGCTTGGTCATGATTCGTATGCGACACTGAAGAACACCATAACGTTAACAAGGGTCGCCCCAAACCACAATTGCAAGAACTACCAGACGGCATGAATAGAAGCTACTTACATCTTCCGGTAGAGCCATGTTGGCGGCCCGTGAGGGAGGTGCAGTTCCAACCTTGGCAGCACTACGGAAGGATAGAATGGTGTTGTAGAGGCGATGCCCCACGGGTCCATTCGCGCTGGAAGGAACATCGCCGTGGAACGGTAGGCTGTCCTCGTACTCAATCAGTGCAGTCTCGATCAACCGCGACATCTCAGTGTCGTCTTCAACAGCCAGCCGTGCTACCGGCAAAACAGCTGTAGTGGTCGCATCCTGGTATCCGAAGCAAACATCTTCGGCACCGGTATAATAGCGCAGAACCAAGCTCCATGCAGCGCGAAGGGCTGCTGGCAGCGTAGCGGTGTTCGATTCGCAGAGCTCCTTTAGAGCCTGGGTTTGGTCCAAGGCCACTTTGATTGTCATCGGCCTTTTTGGCCCGGAAGGAGAAGCTCCAAGTCGAGGGAAATGGCACGGAGCCACATCAGTGAGATGAGACTCCCAGTGGGCCGAGCTGTCTCGAGGTGATGGCATTGTAGCGATATATGGTGGCCGTCTCGGGGTAATGTTTGTGATGAAAAGAAAATCTAGGTATTGTGATCTCAGTATTGCATCTTGACTATCATGCATTGCATTTACGGAGGTGCTCATCGCACTTACTAGTCAAGCTAATACAGAGGAGCCTCAGGTATTTTGCGGCGATGCAGGAATGACAGGAGCAGAATTAATCTATAGCTGTGAAACTCAAGGTAAGTCTATTCTCAGGAAATAACGAGACCGCGGTGAGCGACGGTAGGATCCTAGGGAGAGGGGAATATTAGTTTAACAGTTTGATTATGATACACTGACCGTAGAGAGAGCTTTTTTGTTTTGTTTCAGCAAATAATTATGTGCTTGCTCTCGTCGTCCTCAAGACGTCGTTCGAGATGACGAGGAGGAATGACGGAAAATATCGAAGAAAAGAGCTCCAGAACGAATTGGCAGCTATTTTTCTTTTCCTGGTCAATGTTAAGAGGGGCAATTGCGCTGTTTCGGAAATGGCTTGGTCGATCTGAGCTATCTCATAACCGTTGAAGGGGCTGTCGATGAAGCTTGAGCTGATGTGCAAGCGATCAATGCTGCTTTGGAAGAAGGCTCGTATGAAGGAGCAACAATAATTTGGGCAAAGAGGCTTGAGAGTGATGCCTTGGAGAGGAGGAGAGGCTGTCTACAGGATATACAGCTATCAGTGCAGCTGGGCAGGGTTGCGAAAGGGGTATTGGCTACCAAAAATTTATTGAACGACCAAAATAGAAATAAAATAACTTGGTAAGCCGTAAGTTATGGCACAATACGACCCTACAATTGGGGACGGGAAAAGCACAGGGGGGATAGGAAAAAAAAAGCTGAAGCTGATATCTCGCAAAGACAACCTCTCAGACAAGAAGGCTGTCTCTGCTCGAGCATACGGGTTTACGGAGTAATATCCGAACGATTACTCGGAATCGTAGCTCGAATCATAGATCATAGCAGGTCCATGTCCGAAGTGGTCCCTTGCCTGTACCACAACCTTGCATGACCCAAGGAAGAGGCCAGCAGAGAGAGGCGTGGAGCCAACACCCGGGATCAACCTCGCAAGCCTGGCATCGCATTCCGTCGACCGATGCCCACAAATTGCCGGAAGCCAGAAGCCAGACGGTTGGCTCACTAGAAAAGCGAGACAAACACAAACTCAACAGGCCAGAATTATGGTTTGGAGTTTCATATACGTTCTTTTTTTTCTTTTTCTTGTCTTTTCTTTTTAGTGTTTTTGGCTTTCTGGGTTTCTCAGCTTGCCGCTCCATTTTTTTTTCATTGCCAGGTATCATTTCCTCGGAGTATGGAGTTACTCGACGTATATCTTCTGCACTTTGCTTTTTCAGTTCTTGTCCAAAAACGCTTTGCGTTCTGGCTGGGGTCTGGGATACGGGCTCATCTCTGGCCAGGTGGGAGAGGCTTTGAGTTTGCAGTGTTTATTTTTGGAACCATCACGGGAGGTGCATGCATGGCGTGCATTTGATCTGGCATGAGATTCTTCGTGTAATAATAATGGGCAACCAGCCACCACGAGGCTGTTGTGGTTGTCCAGATGACGGTCCCTGTCTGGGGAAGGGTATGTGGGCGGGCGTTGGACAAGCGACGTTCGCCCAGTTTCAAACAGAAAGCAAAAAACAAAAAAGAAGTGAGGATGAAATAAGAAACACCGAGGGCGGTGGCGGACGGCAGAAAAAAGGAGCCAAAAACCAAAAAGGAAAATACTAAAAGAAGGAGAAGAGGTGGTCCATGCGCCCTTTCCTTCCGATGATCTTGGCGGCCTTCGAGAAGCGCGCTAACGCCGGAAGGAGCTAAGCGCGCGCCTCGGACTAACCACGGGCCGCCGAGGTCACGGGAACACAGACTTCCCGCTGGCCCCTATGCCCCTTTTTCAGGTCCGCGCTTGGCGTTGTATCGTCTGTTCCCACGTTTCGCTGGCGGGCCCCGAGAGACGGAGTGGCCAAGGACGATGTCCGGCAGCTTGTGAGGAAGGACGCACATGAAGCCGACGACAGAGCTGCTGGAGCAGTGTAGAAGGCGAAAGAGGGGGGAAAGAATCTTGGGAAGAAGGAAAGGGGCGCCACCACCACCACCAAAACACCAAACACCTGGCGATCGGCGCAAGCACAGCATACTTAGTGGCACGACGCCAAACCCAGAACAACCCATACTTTGACCTCACAACGTGACAAGGTCTCTGCACTGAGTTAACATGTACAGGGTGGTACCAACCACGCTACAATCAAACCCTTTTCTTCGCTCTTAACACGCACAGCCACTCTGTTCGCCTGTTCAGCCGGCCGCCCGCATGTTTCGAGGCCAATGCTTGAGGAGAATGTAGCTTTGCAGGACGGAAAATGTCGTCCCGAGAGGAGTGTGTGATGTCCATGATGTGATTGATCAGGCCAGCCCTTCCCCCACGGCTGCTCCTGGGCATCGTACTTGAGTACACTGGCCTCAATCAGACCCTCACCCTTGGGGCCTGTTCGGGGGATGCAGGGTTTGACCATCACCAACCTAAGTACATACTTCAACAATAGTAATAATACACAACTGGTATCAACATCAACATTATTCGAACAATGTCGTCCCGCCCTTTCACACGAACCCAAGCCAAAAAGAAGTGATTCCACTGGTTGACGTCAATACCCGTGCTAGTCCGCTCCCAAGGCCCCACAGACGGTGAGCACGAGAATAAATCCAAGAGCACGAGAATGCTGGAGATATTATTTCGTGGTTGTGAAACAAGCAGTCTTCAACTCCACTCAGCCAATTAAGGCCCACCGAGTCCCTTGAGGCTCCATTAGGTGGGGGAGGCTGTGGAGGGCCCGCTCGGTTTCTATTCTTGGTAGCCTCGCGCTAAACGACGCTCACAATCAGGGCCGGTATGTTAGTTCATGTTAATATTATTACCTTCAATCTCGAATTAACCCTCTCGCACAGCCTTATCCCAGCACGCTCGTAACCTCAACGTCTATAAACCAGCTATTATTATCTCGTTTCTATATGGCGCAGTTCGCAAACAAGCTAGTTATACGGGCCAGGTCGCTCTTGGGGCCTACACCAACCCACGGCCTGGTTCCGCGTTTGCGCCCTGCCTTTCCTGGGCTGCGGGAGAGCGCTCGGGCTAGATGGTGGCCGGATCTTTGTGATCTTCCAAGCCCAGCCAGTGTTTGAGGGAACGATAGAGTCACTCCGTTCCATCAAATCAGTGGCCAGGGGGGAATATATGGAAATAACGTGGCATTGGCAGTATATTTCCAAATATATCCCAACCTTCTTCTACTCTGCCGGCATTGCTAACCTTGATACTCCCTCTCTCACCTGTTGCACATTCGCACACACCCACGCCTCTTAAAAGTGTATGGGCATCGTGCACGTATGTATTCAGTTATCCACAAGGCTCTTCTGCATCGTACCCATACTACCCTCGTGGCAGAGGAGTAAGGATATCATTGAGTGCAAGCCGTGTTTACGAGAATTATCCTGGCCAGCACGAGGGAATTGCTATTCTTGGATATATATCGAAAGATATGAAACTGCATCAGGCAACAGTTGGTGGTCAGTAGTGACAAGAAAATGCCGGCGAAGAGACCCCGCTCCCTCAGCCGGTATAACCCAAGAGTCTCGATGTCCGCCCTTCCAGTTTTAACATAAGCATGCTGCAGGAGTGGCTTTCATTTGGCGGCAGGCAATGTAACAAGAGCCATCTCGAGACCGGACAACATGACTATTTTTGCCCCTCCATATGCATGAAGGACATGAGAGGCAAGATTCAACGTTTCATCGCATTGTCAAAAGTACCGTGGGTAAGACAAGAAGGACGGATTTCTTAGCCTGATATCTTGATCTGAGCCAAAATGCTGTCGCTTATGTACCGTCATCCAAGCAGCAGATGATATAATTTGTGCAGATTCAAGTGGTACAAATTGCAACATCGAGTTATCCTCCTTTTTCTTTTTTCCTTCATTTGTATTTTTATCTTTTTCGTACTTTCTATTTTCTTTTGGTTCTTCGTCGAGGGTGGGAGGGAGACCTTGGATGTAGGCCCAGAATGTGCTGTTAATTCTCCCGCCAGATACTCCGTACACCGTACTCCCAATGGTCAACTGTCGAGGCCTGAATCTGGTCCGCTGCCGTTCGCCAAACCTGGCCACTACATGGTCAGGGGATAGATGCAAATGCACAGGTGGCCTGTAGTCGGGACCAGAATTTTCACTTCCAAGAGGCAGCATGCATCTTGCCATGGCCCTCACCCTCGCTCCCGCACCCAAACAAGAAGCTGTTCAGCCTCTGGTCGGTCAACTAAGCCCCCCGGCCCATGAGACCAGCTCAATTTTCAACCTTAGGGTGGGAGGCTCAGGTCTTAGTTAAAGCTCTTTCGGGAGGTGCACACGCTATACTATGCAAGCCGCTATTGCATGTCCATATACGCAGTACCCATGCTCTTATGCATCTCCAAGCAAAGAAAACAATCACAACAACATCGATAAAAAAAAAAAAAAAAAAAAAAAAATGCCATGGGTGTTTCTGTGTGAAGAAGCGATATCATTCGCTGGTAAGGTCCCTGGCTATACGAATTGTGGAGCCTCTGGTTCGCACTCTGATATAATTGAACCCAGTGGTGATTTTAGTTCTATCCGCTTCCAGTCTCCATGACGCCACGAGCTGACTCGGTCTTTAACGCAGGATCCGGTGAGAAGGAAGAATATTCTTAACAAGTAGGCGGGCGCTTCATTCTGCTTCATTCTGCGACAAAAAGCGAAGGAGTGGGAGGAACGGTGGGCATTTTACTAACGTGGAGCGACATGGCTGGATGTCAGTCGCCGTCAGACTGAAGCGACTGTTGGTGGCTGCAGCCGATCGCCAACGTTATGATACGGAGCGCAGTTTAGGCCTATCTCTGCTGCTCGTTCGCTCGCTGGCCATGACGATCATCGCAACTAGTAAGGCTGAGCAAATCGGCCGCTCTCTGACGCTTGTAATAACTAGCAAGCCTGATTGATCCCTTTTTGCTGAAAAAGAAAAAAGAAATNNAAAAAAAAAAAAAGAAAGAAAAAGAATAACTTCTTTTTAGT